GCCAATAAACATGGGGTCCCTAACCTGAAAAAATGTTCAACTTCAATAGTCATCAGGAAAAAACAAATTAAAACTACACTGCAGTATCACTACATACCCTTCCAGAATAACTAAAAAGACTGACAGTACCCAGTATTGGCAAATATGGGAAGCAACTAGAGCTCTTATACACTGCTGGTGGGGGTGTAAATTTGTAAAACCACCTTGCACAACTTTAGCAGAAACTACCAAAACTTATACGCATAAGCCATGACCTAATAATTCCATCCCAAGGTATATACCCAACAAAAATCACATATATATTCACCAAAAAAAGCATAGAAATGTTCACAGCAGCAAAAAAAAAATTTCCATCAACAGAATAAACTGTATTCACACAACAGCAAACAGCAATGAGAATAAACAAAGTACAACACAACATGGATTAATCTTACAAATGTAATGTTAAGCAAAAGAAGCTCAAAGAATACATACTATATCACTCTACTGATACAGAATTCAAAAATAGACAAAACTTTTCTACAGTGTTAGAATACAAGGAACACAGGGCAAAGGGAGGAGGAGCGTTTGTTGGGAGTTCCAGTACTGATGTTTCTTGAGCTGGGTGCCCATCACCTGAATGTGCTTATTCATCTAGCTGTACACACTTCTATATGTATGTCATACTTCTCTAAAAATCTTGCATTCACTGGATCCTTAACTGGTAGATCAGGATTTCTAATCCTTTCCTGCTACAACAATCTTCATCTTATACTATGCTCAGAGACTTGATTGGCAGCAGTCCTACAACAGCCCTACTGCTCTTCAAGATTTAAACATCAGTATCTCCATCCATATAATACCAATACCCACCACATGCTAATTACCTACTATACGCCAACCACTTTAACATTTGTTTATTTAAATACTTACTGAATATCTACCATGTACAAAATCTGTGCTGAGTACTTAGAGTACAAAAAATGAGTAAGACATGGTCCCTGGCTTCAAGGAGTTCATAAGACCACATATACAGTTAACAAGGTAAATGTATAAAGATATGCACAGGATATTATGGGAGCACAAAGGAACTTCAAAAACTGCCTGGAGAAGGCAATGCATCAGGGTAGGTTTCTTGGAGGTATTAACACCTGAGTCTTTAAAAGATGAGTAGGAACCATCCTGGTAAAGAACATTTCAAGAGAGGGAAGTTTGAGCAAAAGTACAATGATAAGAAACAGCACGATGTATTTAAAGAAACAATGAACAGCTGTTAGATGTTACTTAAAGGCGGTAAAACCAAGAACTAAGATGGGGTAGGGGGAAGGTGCCGTAGAGATAAGAAGGTGCCAAGTCAAGAAAGGACTTAGACCTTATCCAAGAGGCAAGATGGATCAGTGAGGAAATAATCAAAGGAATAATGGGGTCAACAGATTATTCAGGCATCAGCAGAGAGGACAGACTTAAGGGGATAAGGCTGGCAGAAAGAAGTCCAGTTAGGAGACAGCTGTGATGGTCCTGACAGAAGATGATAAGGGCATGAAATAATGAAATGAAAGCTGTAACAAATCTGGAAAAAACAGACTAGATACATCATGCTGCTGGTCCACAGATCATACTTTGAGAACCATTAACCTACACTAGGTGTCAGAAAATTTTTTCTATAAAGGCCAAATAGTAAATATTTCAGACTTTATGTGCCACACATGGTCTCTACTGTATTTGGTTTTGTTTGCTTTTTAAACAACGTTTTAAAAATTAAAAACTACTCTTAGCCAGTAGACCTTATCAAAAAAAAAAAAAAAAAAAAAAAGGCTGCAGGCTGTATTTAGGCTATGGGCCATAGTTAGTTTGCTGATCCCCGCTGCACACCACCAGTAAAGAAGTGAGGATTAACCTTCCTATGAGATTAATTTTCCTAAAATGCTACTTGCATCACATTATCAGTTGCCTACTCAGAAACCTACATTGGTCCTCGATGCCTAAGTCCAATCACTATGCTGCCTAGCATTCATAGGCATCTATACTCTAGCACCAGCCCACTACTCCAGACTCATGAACTACATCCTTGTGACCCACCCTTCCATCATTATTAAATTGAACTACTTACATGTACCAGCTTCTATATCTTTGTGGTGTTTCCCAATCCAGTGTTCTTTCCTACTGCTCCAAACCTACTCAAATATCCTTCCTTCAAAGCACAATTCAAATCCTACCTCAAAATGATTCCATCCTCCTCAGAAATCCTAAAAGCACTATCTCAACTTACACTTATTTGCTGTTTTGAGTTATTACTTCAAATAAACTGAAAATTCCTTGAGGGCAAACAACAATTTATACTACTGTCTATCAGTGGATCTAGTATGTAACAAGGGGTAAATAAAATGAAGATGTGTGTGTACATATGTACATATTACAAAAATTACATGTTACATATGTGATATCTGCATATGTACACACATGCTTTTTTCCTAAAATAACTAGATAACTGAAAGCAAATGTGATTTCACCCTTATTTGTATCAGTAATTAAACACTTTGATTCTATGGACACAACCTGAATGCTTGTAGAAACCACAGAATGACAATCCACAAACACAGCTAGTTTACTAGAGAAACAATAACACAAGCAGAACTTTCCCAATGTTATCAGTATAGGTATACTGGCATAATATTAAAGACAGAAGTTCCCAAATCAATTCGAAGTTAACTTACCTACAGTTTTACTTCATTTATTTTTTAAAATACAAAAGAAGCTTTTACAACTAAATTGCTTTAAATTCACCCTCAATTATTACTCAAGTTTAAAAAGTTACACACACACACCCCCCAAAAAGTCACGTATATGGTCTTAATTTTAGTAAGGTTCTCCACCACAATTCATATCACCAAAAATGGCATTATTGATTTCACTCAGAATTTAGGGAAATAAGAATACATTTAAATTTTTTAAGAAAATAATCCATTTTAGTTCACAGTTGATAAATATGATCACAGAATTTTTTCAGCTGGATTAAAGGAGTCATCTTATATTTGAGAAGATATACTTAAGACTTTCCAAGTCCAAAGTGTAAGCTATGCCCTATTTTATCACCCAATGTTCAAGAATGTTCAACAATCTGTAAAAATTCCTCCAGAATCACTTGCCCACGTTCCATTGCAAACTACAACAAAAGTTTAAAACACATACAGAAAAGTATAGAAAACCAAAATGGACAAACCAAAAAATGGCCATTAAAGTCAAACCTAAAATTTTTTTAACTTTTTAATTCTTCAAAGCGCATGGAAGAAAAAGTTTAGTTATTTACAACGCTGAAAAGGCCATCACTCATTGATAACTAACATTAATAATGCACTGATAAGAGGACAAATCCAGGAGCCAGGGACTCGCATTTCCCAATTCCTGTCCTGCCACTGGCTTAGTATAATGAGTCTTGGGCACATCACTCAACTTCTCTAGTTTCCCCATATGTTTAACAAGAATAGCTTAACTGACATTCTCAGGTTGTGAGAACTGATAAAATGTTTATGAAGTACTTTAGGACCACGAAGGGAAGCCAGTGTAACCATAAAATGTCATATGCTTAATGCAAAACTACAACTACCTGTTAGCTATAGCTGCAAATCCAATCATCACAATTCTTTTGTGTCTTAACACAGCAAATCTTTACTGAGTCAGTAAGGTGCAAGTATTTAATAAGCTAGTTTAAGTAACCTCAGAGAAATTTATTTTCTCCCAAATCTTTTTTTTCCTCACAAACCATGTCACTATCCAACCCAATTATTTGCAAAGGGAAAGACGATCCGATTCCCATTAAGTTAGGTCTAGTTATTGACAAGCTAACACCAAATGACTGAAGAGTATTAGGAATCACGGTGGAACTTTCCTTGTTAACATACCAGAAATGGGACTCCCGAAAATAATCCCAAAAAACAGGCATTCTAACAAGAGCTTTATTAAAGGGAAAATCCCTACACTCTCTTACATAAAGAACTCTAAAATGTTTTCAGACCCTGGAGACAGAAGACTAAATTCGCTCGAAGCCTGAAGTAATTCGTTGGGTAGTTCCACCACCTGCTTGGTGTTGAGCGACTAGAGACTGAGGAGGCTGCTCAGGAAAAGTGCTGATGCCATCTCCAGCTGCCCCTTTCGTGAATGACAGTAACAATGCAAACACTGACAAAAGAGCTGGGAGGCCACCCAAAGCCCCTGATTAGCAGTGCTTCTACTCTAGCCCCAACAGACAAGGCGAAAAATCCCTGAAAGGCCCTCATCTGACAGCTCTTCCATGCAGAGACCTTGTCTCTAGTCTAGTAACGTGAAAAAAGTACTACCCTTCACTCCTTCCAAGAGAGCGGAGCACCTTAAAGGTGAGGGAAAACGCTGCCTGTCTTTCCAAAGTGCCAGAGGCAAAAGACGGGAAGACTTCCTCCTGGGCTCTGAGCGAGGAGGCTCGCTGGGCAGCCAGAGAAAACTCGCTCTGGGCGAGGGCGCCCCTCTGACCGCCGGCAGGGAGGGCAGGGAAACGGAGAGAAAAGGAAAGCGTGTCCCCCACTTGGCAAGAGGACAGAGGGTCGCTGCCCAGCCGTGTGGGGAAGCGGGGCTTGGCGCCGGGCACCCCGTCCTTCCCGGGGATGGCAGCGGCCGGCGCCCCGCTTCCCGCGAGCCGGAGGAGACGACAAGTAGACTCGGGTCCGGGAGCACCGGGAGCACGTTCTCTCCTCCAGCCTGGTCCCGAGGGAGGGCGCAGGCTGCCGAGGCGGCAACTCTCCCTCTCGCCCAACTCCGGCGAGCGTGAGGCCGGCCGGCCGCCGGCTGCTGGCGCGGGCTGCCAGCCGCCCGGGTGGGGGAGGCGACGAGGCCGTCCTCGGCCCGCTCCCTCCGCACGCGGTCCGCTCCCAGCGGCCCGTCCGCGCCCTCGTCCCCGCCCGCCGCCGCCGCGGAGCCGGGCCGCCGACCTCGGCCGGCCGGGCGCGGGGCCAGGCGGCGGCGGCGGGCGGGCGGGCGGCCTGGGGCCCTACCTGAGGCTGTGTACCAGCTCCCGGCGTGACTGGCTTCCCGGCAGACCACTCGGTTGGACATCTTGGTGCCTGTGCCGCCTATGGTGCACGAGGATGAATGAGGAGGCGGCGGCGGCGACGGCGGCAGGAGCGGCTCCGCGAGGGGACGAGACACCGCGGGCCCAGCCCAGGAGGAGGCGGCAGCGGGGAGGGGATCGGCCCGGCCCAGGAGGAGGAGGAAGAGGAGGCGGCGGCCCAAGAGGAGGAGGAGATGGCAGCCGGGGCGGTGGCGGCGGCAGCAACAATCACCACAAACTCCGGTGACCGCCGGAAAATGGGGCCCACAGCGGCCTCACCGAAGCCCGGAAAGCCCTGGCCCCGGCCCCCGGAGTCGCCGCTACTCCCCAGCCGGGGCTGGTTTCGCCGAGCCGCCCCCACGGCCCCCTCCCCTCCCAGTTGGCCTCCCGGAGCCACCGCCGGTGACCCCACCCCCG